TTTAGGTGGACGGCTGATAAGGAGGCAAGATTTCTTTCTGTGCCCAAGACAGAACCACTGCCGCCAGGGTCCAGAGAGACCTGCTCCTTGTTCCACCCTGTCTGTTTATGTAGGCTACAGCTGTTGCATTATTCGACAGGAGGCGGACATGCTGGACCCTGATCATGTTCTGGAAGGAGCGGAGAGCTTCCAAAATCGCTCTTAACTCCCTCCAGTTTGAGGATTCCCCCTTTTCTACTGGGGACCACTCTCCCTGAACCACCGAATCCCCTAGGTGGGCCCCCCAACCTTGGGCGCTGGCATCCGTCGTGATCTCCTTGACCACCGGGAAACTCCATAACAGCCCGTGAGTCACATTCGGGTATCTAGGGATCGTACCTGCCTGTCCCAGACTCTTAGAATGAAGAGTTGGAGGGGACGAAGATGCAGCCCTGCCCACTGAACTGCCAGGATGGATGAAGTTAACAGTCCCAACACCGACATGGCCTGCCTCACGGTTACGCCGCGGCTTCCCAGCAACAGCCTGATCCCCCCATCTAGCTTGGCAAGCTTTTCTGAGGTTAGCATGGTCCTCTGCCCTGTGGAATCCAGAATGTACCCTAAATAGGTCATTCTCTGGGAAGGAACTAGGCAGGATTTGTCCAAGTTCAGCAGCCAACCCAGACTCTCCAAATGTCTCCTCACTACTACCACGTCCCGCACGTCTATGCTTCTGCTCCTCCATACCCTGGTACATTTGGTCGTGCAAGGCTAGAGGTTTAACCTCTTCCTTACTGTCCAGAGTATTGTAGATTGCCCCTAAAAGGTCGTCCACTTCCTCCAGGGATAATTTGTACCTGGAGAGACCTCTGGGGTCTTCCGAGGGGCCCTCCCCTGCTGACCCCTCCTCAGACTAGGGAATTCAGGGAGGGTTCCTCTTCCCCTGTCTCCGGGAGCTCCCTGCTCCGACTAGTTGACGTTGCTACTGGTTGGGGGGGCGGGGGGCCGCCTGGGGAATGGGTAAACTTTCCATTCAATTTTTAAAAGATTCAAAGGTACTGGTCAGCTCCTTCACCGACCTGACCAGGTCACCCTGAGTTGGCCTCTCTTCTTTTCAGTAACCCCTCAATACAGGGTCCACAAAGAACATTCTTCCATGACTCCTTGAGAACTGTTCTACAAGACGGGCACTTCCATCTAGGTTCCTGATGCTTAAGTTTTTCCCGGGCTTTACCCTGAAAGACAAAAGGAGGCAGAAAGAGCCTATCACCCATTGGCCCACTGTTTCTACCCCCCCCCCCTCTTCCCTGGCAGGGCCTATGGGCCTGAGTCCGCCCGACAGGACCCCCCCCTGCCCTAAACCCTCTGACCACAAGAGGGTCCGGGAACACCCCAGGAGCTAGGGGCCCACAGGTAGGGGAGGACTCCTCTGAGTCACCTTACCTGGGTCTGGCTGGTGCAGGCCTCGCCTGGTCCCGGTGCCTCTGCGCCTGACATTGACAGGAGGGTGGTTGCCAATCCGTGCGGTAGCCTGGCTCCCAGGTAGCTGGCTCCCAGGCTCTGTCCCGCGAAGCACCGCCATTTTTTTTTTTCCGCCGGCCCTGGTGTATAAGGCCGCGGCCGTAAGCGGAAGCCGTGACCCCGGGAGAAGCCCCGCCCCTTCCACCGGAATCGCCGTTACCCAACATCCGGCCCAGCGTGCTCCACTGACAGCCAGCGTGGGAAGGAGCGCGACTCCTCCCCGATCCTCGCCGGATCCCACCGAGGCCACCCCGACACCCGCAACTCACCGGAGGGGGGAGGGGGCGGCCGGCAGGTTAGTGTTTTATCCTGTCACCCAGGGTTCACTCCTTCTGCCACTGCAGCACACCAGGGGAGGATCGCAGCCGGCTCTCCGGCCTTCACTCCCCACTGCACTGAGTCCCACAGCCGGCTCCAGATCCACTCCAAGAATCAGGTACCACTGTCCCCTGACAGCACCCTGAGAGCTTCCTTTTTGATGTCTCCCCACCGGAGGAAACACCAGGACTGAGGTCGGAGGGGAGTGATAGACTTTTATTTTAGAGTGGGGTGTTTCCTCAGGTGGGAAGGAGCCGCGGTCTCTCAAGGTGCTGTCCTGAAAGACGAAGGGGGAAAAAACACATTTCAGCATACAGTAAATTATATATATATATATATATATATATATATATAATAGATAGAAATACATTTTTTAAATATATTGAATATGGCCAAAATTGTATTTCAAAGATATTTGAATATATTTGGAAAGAATATTTTTAAAATATATTTAAAATATATTTTTCTTCCACGTGGGTTGTAGTCACTAAATATTCTACATGCCCAAAAAACATGGACACCTGACCATTATAACTATATGAGCTGGTCGGATCTTGTTGGCCATCCAATTTCAAAACATGGCCATTAATAAGGAGTCCACAACCCCCCCCCCCCCACCACCACCACCACCACCACCACCATGGCCATTACTATGGAGTTGACATTGACATTAATATGAAGCTTCCCCCCCCCCAATGGCCATTACTATCGGGTTGCGCTTCCACCATGGATATTTGTATGGAGTTGCCCCTTTTCCATTTATCATGGCCATTAATATAGAGTTGTCCCCATGGACATTAATATGAAGTTGCCTTTGCCCTTTGTGACTATAACATTCTCCACCAAACTGGTCAAACCCGTTTGCAGTCATAGCAGGCTCCACTTTTCTGGGAAGGATTTCCACAAGATTTTAGAGTGTGTCTGTGGGAATTTGTGCCAATTTGTGAGGTCAGGTACTGATGTTGGATGAGAAGATCTGGCTCACCATCGGCATTACAATTCATCTCAGTGGTGTTCAGTAGGGTCAATGCTCTGTACTGGGCAAACAATGTTTTTATCTTGAATTCTTGAAGCTTGAACACTACAAGATTAAATTTTCTTTATTGGCCAACTGCTGACTTGAGCTGGCCATAAACGGAGTGAATTTTGCCCAGTATTTTATTTATTTATTTATTTTTTTAATTTAAATCTTTTATTAAAATGTCCTGATTAACTGGGCAAAAAATAGCTTAATAAAAGGTTTAATAAATGAATTTTTCCCAGTTAATCAGGAAATTCACTTAGTAGTTGGCTCTGTCGGCCATCTACAATCCAGCATCCCTTAGTTGAAAAAACTGAAGGAGCTGGGTGGTAAATGGTCATCCAATCAGCTGCAGGCATTGTTCAGGTATTTTGGCAGCTGGCAGTACCAGCTGTCAGGCTACAATAGCTGCAGTGGGAGATTCGTCCATCCGTACTGTAACATGGATGGAGGAATCAGTTAAAATTTTTATCTATGTATATGGCTTGTTTTATTAAAGTACTTTTACTTTTTTTGGACTTCTGAAAAATTATATTTCTTTTTGTAGACTTGTATATATAGATAAATATCTATTCCACAGGAATTCTGGGCAATGGCTTTACCTATCAAACTGGGCTACAGAAACTTGAAAAGTTTGATCAATATCATCAGCAGGCAGAAGAACTTACCAAGGCAGAGACGCTGATTCCACCCGCTGACTCCCCCCCGAATATAGTGACAGATTCAGGGTCACCCCCAAAATCCTTAATGTTCTGCTGAATCCACTGGAGAGCAGCAATCTGGTCCAAAAGTCCATAGTTTCCAGATGCCGTCTGAGCATTTGTGGTTCTGGGATGCAGAGCTGTGTCTCCAGTGTTGGATTTCAGAGCTGTGTCTCCAGCGCTGGGATCCCGAACTGTGTCTTCAGTGCTGATATATTTACAAAAAGATCAAAATCATATCATAATATGCATCAGTATATTTGCTTTAAAGCCTCCTGTTCAATTCGCTCAGATGAAATGTAACACAGGGAAGAAGGAGAGACTAAAGATCAGGACTAGAAGCTCATAAGGGAGTGAGATGCAGTCCAGCCTCTAGAGTGTCAGGAGGGGAAGAAGCCTTTGCTCTTGGGTTACATGCTGTTGGTTTACTCTTGTCTTTCACTCACCGACATCAGTACAATGCAGTCTATACAAGTAAATGCAATGATTGATGTCCCATGTACTGTGACCTACCTGAAGAATCCCAAAATTCCCAATCTATATTGGATCGCCACATACACCACATTTTCATGAGCACTGATTGCAGAGCCATCATGCAAAGCAGCAGTCCCCAGTACCAGCCCCCCGCCGTGTATGAACGCCATGACCTGGAACGAGGAGAGAGGGGATGGTATTTTATTAATTTATCATCTCAGGAAAGTATCAGGCTGGGGGAATCTGGCTCTGGGGTACTTCTTTAATCTTTAACATTGAGAAAGAATTGAAGGGACTAATTTCAAGTAAATTGTAATAAAAGCAGATCTGTAGATCTTTCATCTATTAGCGACCTTTGTATATTATATTTTTATAATCCATACACTAAAGAATTGATACACAATAAGAATGATTTACACTGCTTAATATCACGTGTACACTTCACCCTGACTACAAATTCCCATGCAGTTGTGGCAGTGTGACAGTATGCCGGGGCTGAGCAGTTAGGAACAAACAGGGAACACCAGGACACTTACAGGTAGCTTGGCGTTGTCACCTTGGTCAGATGGTGTGAAGACATTCAGGAACAGACAGTCCTCAGATGTGGGAGGAAGAGTCACCTCTATATTGAGTACTTTCAGCATATTTCTGAATTGTTTTGCATTCTGTGGGCACCTGAAAAGACAGAGTCCCCGATATGTGACAGGGAGAGTTGAAGAGGGTATGACTGTCCCTGGGCTCATCAGCTTTGGGGGGATGTCCCTTAAATAGCCACAGCCACCAGTATAGTATTTCTCAACTGAGTGCCAGCAGCGGGTGTACCGGCCTGGGAACTCAGAGCAGGGATGATGGGAACCCATCATAATAAGCACAGCAAATGTAAAGATCTGGGAACTCTGGTCAGGGATTATGGAAGCCCCTCCTAACAGGCACAGCAGGTGTACAAACCTGGGAACCCATGGCAGGGATGCTGGGAACCCCCCAAAATGGTCACAGCAGGTGTACAGACCCAGGATCGCAGCACAGGAATGGTAGGGACATCTCATAATGGGTACAGCAGGTGTACAGACAAAGGAACTCAGCACAGGGATGGTGGAAAACCCCTTATTTTGGGCACAGCAGGTGTACAGACCCAATAACTCATCACAGGGGTAGAGAAAGCCCCTCACAATGGGCACAGTAGGTGTGCAGACCCAGGAACTCAACACAGATGTTAGGAACACATTAATAGGTTCTTCTAAGGAGCAGAGATCTTGCCAATAGAGTCTCCAGAGACAGAAGAGACTGTTAAAGGATTGATCTATCCAGCATCCACAAATACCAAAATATCAGTTCTGTTTATGATTTCAGGAGATTCTATTGAGTGAATGAGATGGTGGCTCCAATCCTGGTACTTACATGGGTGGGTTTTCTGCAGCTTCTCTCACTGACTCCCAGGGTACGGGAGGTTTCGGTGCTGCAAACCGTAGCGGCCCCACTGGTGGTTCTGCAAATGGGATTCCATAGAAAGCATCCACGGTTCTGTCCGTCTCTTTTACCACTAGTGTCTTCCCTCTGAGTTTTCCAAAACTTGTGTCTACCACAGGTCTATCTCCATCTTCTGGATGTGAGAACAAAACACATTGACTTAGTCTATATCAGCCTTCACTGTGTAGTCTAGTATCCCCATCACTGTGCCCCCATACATCAGGTTCCCCAATAACATTGTCCCCAAACATCAGGTTCCCCCATCACAGTGTCCCTATACAGCAGGTGTCCCCATCACTGTGCCCCCATACATCAGGTTCCCCCATAACATTGTCCCCAAACATCAGTTTCCCCCATCACAGTGTCCCTATACAGCAGGTGTCCCCATTACTGTGCCCCCATACATCAGGTTCCCCCATAACATTGTCCCCAAACATCAGGTTCCCCCATAACACTGTCCCCATACAGCAGGTGTCCCCATCACTGTGTCCCTATACAGCAGGTGTCCCCATCACTGTGTCCCCATACAGCAGGGTCCCCATCACTGTGTCCCATACATCAGGATCCCCCATAACATTGTCCCCAAACATTAAGTTCCCCCATCACAGTGTCCCCATACATCAGGTTCCCCCGTAACATTGTCCCCAAACATCAGGTTCTCTCATCACAGTGTCCCCATACAGCAGGTGTCCCCATTACTGTGCCCCCATACATCAGGTTCCCCCATCACAGTGTCCCCATACAGCAGGTGTCCCCATTACTGTGCCCCCATACATCAGGTTCCCCCATCACAGTGTCCCCATACAGCAGGTGTCCCCATCACAGTGTCCTCTTACAGCAGGTGTCCCCATCACAGTGCCCCCATACAGCAGGTGTCCCCATACATCAGAGTTGTTCTTCCCCCCCCCTTTCACTCATGAACGCACAGATCACACACAAATGTTGTTCCCACCTGCTATGAAAGCAGCCTCTCCTTCCTCTCCTTTGCTGAGATTGAGGTGAGTTCTCAGTCTCAGCACTGGCTCTGTTCTGCCCCCTGCAAACTGCAAGTTTACCCCCTCAACACAGCAAACGCCCCCCCCCCCCCCAGATCATGGGTCCCCCCCTGTTCTGTTAGTGGATCCTGCTCAGATGCTCACACACTGTAGTTAACAGGAGACATTTTATTAGGTGCTTCTAGCTGCCATTATACATGTGTCTGCCCTAGAACTACAACCAAAGAGAGGCAATAACACAGTTGTACCAGTATCTAAGTAGTGAGACCCCTAGAGGCCATACACAGCATATAACATATTGCTACATCCTTTCTCTTTTAAATAAAAGAACAATGAAATATAACAAACACAAAATGGTGAAGTAGAACATAGCTATAAATTAGATATAATCCTTGAGGTGAGCCGGCTTTCTGATTGTTCTGCCAGCTCGCGTAACATATGAGGTTTCTTCTGATTCTGGCAGTCTATTTTCTGGGACTGTCTCTCTCTGCCTAGAGACCTCCTTATGCTCCTCAGCAGTTCCTGTTTCTTTGTTGCTGGTATTCATAGTCTCATCGCTTTGAGTGTCCATATACTGTTCCCAGGGCCCTGTATCATCTCCTTCTTGTGTTTTTCTCAGATGTCTCCCGATTTCTCTTCCATCTTCTTCCTTCCTCTGTTATAATTTCATAGGACCGTGGTCCCAATTTCTGTACAACCTTCGCTTTTTTCCAGTGTTTGTCATATTTCCCTATTGGCTGAATCCGTACATTGTCATTGCTCTGGAGAACAGGCAGATCTTTTGCAGATTTATTATAATAGAAAGCTTGCCTATCTTGATTCTTCGTTAGTTTGGCTTTAACATTGCCACAAGCTTTGGCTGTAGTAGTTGACCTGCAGTTGGTAGGAGAGTCCTTGTACGTCTACTCATAAGCCGCTGTGCTGGACTGGTGTCTAGGCCTTGTGTGGGTGTGTTTCTGTGGTCCAGTATAGACAGGTATATCTCTGTACCTGCCTGTTTTGCCTTTTGCATGAGTCTTTTGGCTGTTTTTACTGCTGACTCGGCTTTACCATTACTCTGCGGATATCCAGGAGATGATGTCTGGTGCTCAAATTCCCACCTCTCCCTGAATTTTTTGAATTCTTCCGATGTAAATTGAGCGGCGTTGTCAGAGAACACAATATCCGGAATGCCATATCTGGCAAAATGGGCCTTGAGTTTTTTAATTACTGTTTTGGCCCTTGTGTCCTGTAAGTAGTCTATCTCCCAGAAGTTGGAAAAATAGTCCACAGTTACCAGATATTCCTTGTCGTTCCACGTGAACAGATCTGTTCCTACTTTTGACCATGGTCTGTTTGGAATTGTATGTGGTTGCAATGTCTCTTTCGGTTGCTTATCATTGCACGATGCACATATTTCACACTGTGCTATAAAGTTTTTTTATGTGGTCATTCATTCCAGACCAATAAACATATTCTCGTGCACGACGTAGACATCCTTCTACACCTAAGTGAGTCGAGTGCAATCTTTCTATAATGTCTCTTCTAAGTGATTGTGGTATGACAGCTCTTTCTCCTTTAAAGATGATTCCATGCTGCACAGAGAGTTCATCTCTTATGTGAAAAAATGGAGAAAAACTCCATTGGAGCATGCTGCTTGTGTTTTGGCCATCCCTTCAAGATGACAGTCGATAGGATCTGTAGAGTTTTATCTTCCGCTGTGCAGGTCTGTATTTGTTTCAGTCTGTCTTTTGAGACAGACAGATATTCACACATATTGATGCTTTCAATGTCTTTTTCTTCTTCATTTGTGATGGGTAAGTAAGCTCTGCTTAGGGCATCTGCAATCAGTAAATCCTTCCCTGGACAGTAACAAATGTTAAAATCATATTTCTGAAGCCTTAACAGCATACGCTGCAGTCTTTTTGGGGCATTCAGTAGTGGCTTCTTTGTAATACTTTCTAAAGGCTTGTGATCTGAATGCACCACCACTTGTCGACCGTAGGTGTACTGGTGAAATTTCTCTAACCCAAATACTACCGCTAGTAGTTCCTTCTCGATTTGAGCGTATCCTTGCTCTGTTAGAGTTAACGCTCTGCTTGCATATGTGATTGGCTGTTTATCCTGCATTAGTGTGGCTCCAAGGCCGGTTTCTGAGGCATCACATTGTACTACCACTGCTTGATCTGGATCAAAATATTTTAGCGTTGCTGCGTCTGCAATAGCATTTTTCACTGACTGAAAAGCAGTTTCATGGCTTTCTGTCCATTCCCAGAGTACGTCTTTGTGAGTTAGCTGTCTCAGTGGCTCACACATGTCTGATAAATGCTTGCAAAATTTGGAAAGATAATTCGCCATGCCCAGGAATCGTTGTACTCCACGTATATCTGTAGGTGTCGGCATGTCCTGTATCGCCCTCACCTTCTCTGGATCGACTTTAACACCATGTGAGGTAAGAAGATGTCCAATATATGGTACTTCTGTCATTTTTAGTTTGAATTTTTCCAGGTTCAGTTTGATTTGTTTTTTTCTACATCTGTCTAAGAATTGTATCATCTTTTTATCGTGATCCTTTGTTGCGGATTCTAGATCATCACCTTCCCCAACTATTAGTATATCGTCTGCTATTATTTTTACTCCAGACAGTCCTTCCAAAGCTTGCATCAATTTTTGTTGGAACACTTCTGGAGCTGGGCTTACTCCCATTGGCATTCTAAGCCACTTATAGCGTCCAAATGGGGAAGAAAATGCTGTTAATAAACTTGATTCTTTATCCAGTTCCACGTGCCAGAAACCCATTTTTCACATCACATACCGAAAATATTTTAGCCTTTGATAGATCTGGTAGAATATCTTCTATTGTTGGCATTGGATAGTTATTTCTTTTAAGGGCCTTGTTCAGTGGCTTAGGATCAATGCATATTCTTAACTTGCCTGATGGTTTTTTCACTATCACCAAACTGCTTATCCAGTCTGTGCTTTCCTGTACTGGTGCTATCATACCTCTGCTGTGCAAATCCTGCAGTTCCTCTTTAAGCGGTTGCATTAAGGCTACAGGTACTCTTCTTGTAGGCAGTCTGGTAGGCTGTATTGTGTGATCAATTTCTAGTTTGTATTTACCTTCCAGGCACCCATCACCTTCAAATAAATCAGCATACTCTGTTTTTATGTGGTGAAAATCCAAAATGTATTCTGCCTTTTGTGTAGGATTTTGAGTATTGTCAGAAACTTCCAGAGCCATGATGTTATGGGACTGCACCTTTATTAAGTCCATAGCCTGAACTGCTTTAACTCCCAGCAAAGGAATGTGATCGTCCTCCTGCAAACAGTAAACTCCACTCTGTAGCTCTTTCTGTTACGTGGATTTCTTAATTTTAGCTTGCATGTTCCCATGGGTTTCAGAACACTTTTGTTGTACATGACCAGTACCTTATCAGTGGGCTCAATGGGAACCTGTTTGTTAAGCAGAGTAAATGGAATGACATTGCAACTTGCTCCACAATCCAGCTGAAATCTTATGGGCTGTTCATCCACCATAAATATGGCAAAGAGCTGCTTTGCATCATTGGCTACTGGCTGTTTGACTACATTGACGTTCTCTGTTGCAGACTGCAGCTGCAGCCATGTGATGCCCTCTGTGCTGTCCTCGTCTGTGTCCTGGGTCACTGTGTGGACTTGTCTGTACTGTTTGCTGGTTTTGAATCTGCACACAGCTGAAAAGTGGTTCATCTTGCCACAAGTCCTGCAGGACTCCCCATACGCTGGACATTTCTCTTTGTCTCTTTCATGTCTTTTGCCACAGTATTTACACTGGACTGAGCTCACAGGGAGCCTGGACCTTGCTCTGCCTTTCACAGATACTGCATGTACTGAGGCATCACTGGTGCCCTCCATCATCTTCAGCCTGTCTTTAGTCAGCTCTGCAGCCCTGCAGATTTGTATACATTTCTCCAGCGCCAGCTCTTCCTCCTCAGTAATCTTTCTCTGAGGTGAGAGTCTCTGATGCCACACACTATCCTGTCTCGGATAAGGGAGTCCCTGATGTCCCCAAATCCACAGGTTGCAGCCAGTCTCCTCAGCTCTGTCACATATCTGTCCACACTGTCCCCAATCTCCTGATTCCTTGAGAAGAACTTGTATCTCTCCACCGTCTCATTCTTTTTGGGGTCACAGTGCTTATCAAATGCTTGCAGTATGTCTGTCAGTGCCATGCTGTCTGTGAGCAGGGTCTCGGCTAGTTCTCTGCCTTTTTCCCCAATCAAGTAATAAAACAGCTTTACTTCCCTCTGCTCATCATCTCTGGGTGCCACTGTCAGGTCCACATACAGAGTAAACTCTTCCTTCCAGTGTCTCCATGTCTGTGAGATATTGGAAGAAGTGACATCCAGTCTCTGAGGGGGTTTCAGGCCACTCTCCATAGTGCAGTCTGATAGGGACTCTGTACTTACAGTTGCTGATTCTCTGTACAGTTCCAGTGTCACACAATCTGTATTTGTAGACAGAAGACTTGCTATTCAGAGGTTCAGTGCCCAGCTGCCACCATGTTCTGTTAGTGGATCCTGCTCAGATGCTCACACACTGTAGTTAACAGGAGACATTTTATTAGGTGCTTCTAGCTGCCATTATACATGTGTCTGCCCCAGAACTACAACCAAAGAGAGGGAATAACACAGTTGTACCAGTATCTAAGTAGTGAGACCCCTAGAGGCCATACACAGCATATAACATATTGCTACACCCCCATGCACTTGGGGCCCCCTGAACAGTGCACTTCAGCAAAGAGATCTCCCCTCTATAGTTCTCTGCTCCCACTAACATTGGGCTGTTCCATCGACTCCTCTTACATTCACCATCATATTAAAAAATCTAGGAGAGATGAGGAACACTGTTCATAATGGGCACAGCAGGTGTACAGACCCGGGAACTCAGCACAGGGATGGTGGGAACCCCCTCATTATGGGCACAGCAGGTGTACAGACCGGGAACTCAGCACAGAGGGATGGTGGGAACCCCTCATTATGGGCACAGCAGGTGTACAGACCCGGGAACTCTGCACAGGGATGGTGGGAACCCCTCATTTATGGGCACAGCAGGTGTACAGACCCTGGAACTCAGCACAGGAATGGTGGGAACCCCTCATAATGGACACAGCAGGTGTACAGACCCGGGAACTCAGCACAGGGATGGTGGGAACCCCTCATAATGGGCACAGCAGGTGTATAGACCCGGGAACTCGGCACAGGGATGGTGAGAATCTCTTATAATGGGCACTGCAGGCGTACAGACTGGGGAACTCAGCACATGGATCTCACCAATAGAATCCCCAAGAAATAGAAATTACTGTCAGGTAAATTAACAAAAAATATTACTTTTGGGTGGAGTTTGGTGGATGTTTGGATTTGGTGCTGTAAAAAGAGACATTAAGGGAATTATTACGGCAGAATCTTACCTGTCCCAAAAGTCGCTTGGATGGCGCAGCACAGAAGGAGGATCAGGATGACAGCTCCCATGGTTCTGTGAGTGACAGGAGAAGAAGACGTATTATGTACATGTAGTACTGCCAGAGATCTGCATACTAGGCGTTACTGCTGGCGGCTGTCCAGGATCACTCTTGATCTCTGTGAGGACATAAAAACCTGGAGCGTACCCAGAATCCTCCTCAATAACACCAACTGTGACTACCTCTGAGGACAAAGTGCCCATTGGGTGAGGGAGGGGGTCACATTTCCAGAAGTCCAGCGAGTGGGACAATCCTGCCATTGGATGCCGCCATCTTCAATTTTTTCTTTGCATCGGTTGCAGCTTTTTTCTGATATTCCTGAATCGGCTCCAACATCAACCTGCACAGAGCTTCTGAAATGTTCAGAGCTACAAACGTATTTTGATTATTTTCTTTATAGTCATTATAAAACAATGGACAGAAGACATTCAGAATATTCACACCGAAGATCCACGAAGGATCCCCAGTGATCACTGACATGGAAAGCATGATATCCATGGAAACTTACAGAGGCTCTCCCCATTTACTGCTCTATCTAAAATTAAATACATACACTTTATTCTTAAAGTAGTTGTAAACCTCAGACATGAAATATGAACAAAGCATATCCCTCTATAGTGTGTACCTGTCTCAATCTAGAGCACTGAGGGGCATTTCTGTCTGCTGCTTACTCATCAGCCTGAATCACTTCTGACAAGTTTTCCTGACACCAAGAGAAAAATGGCAACAGGGGAGGGACCTCCAGCAGATTGACAGCCTCAGCTCTGTTCCTGTGTTCTGTGTGGAAGGGGGTGTGTCTCTCCGCTCCAATCAGCTCTCAGAGCTGTCCTCACTGAGCTCTGCAGAGTGTAATTTCAGCTTCCTGCCCCCTTTTTTCTGAACTCTCAGACAAGCTTTATAAATTCAACATTTTCAACAGATGTAGAGAAGAAAAGACTGTAGATGGACAGGTGAAAACTTATGCAAGCCATAGACGGGTCGAAAAATCGGCCGTTTAAAAAAAAAAACGAAAAATCGGGTCGTTCGATCGGCTGAGGTTACCACCAAAGGTAAAAAAAATCGACCGATTTTTGTCCCGTTTACAGCTGGCATTTAACCCCATAATTACTTCTGTCCCTTACATGAAAGTCTTGCGATTGCAACAATGTATCCATTTTGTATACAAATGGGTTTATTTGGATACAAATGGATACATTGTTGCAACCGCAAGACTTTTTCATATAAAATATAATAGCGGACTGGAATTCTGATTCATCTTTTTCTTCTTCTTCTTCCTCTTCTTTTTCTTCTTCTTATTATTATTTTCTTCTTCTTTTCTTCTTCTTCTTCTTATTTTTCTTCTTATTAATATTATTATTTTTCTTCTTCTTCTTCTTCATCTTTTTATTCTTATTATTTTTCTTATTATTATTATATTTCTTCTTCTTTTTCTCTTCTTCTTGCAGGTCACGGCTCATGTGCAGATTTTTTTATCGGTAAAACGATCGGCCGATTTGCCCATCATTGCCAGGAAAATCGGCCGATCATCAAAATCGGTTGCGAATTTTCCAACTTGACCGATAAAAAAAATGTGCCAAAACCCCGAAAAACGGGACGGCCGACCAATTAAGCCACTAACGGTGTGAAAATTGGCAGATTTTCGACCCGTCTATGGCCTGCATAAGGCGGGAGGATTAGTTTCATCTCTGTGTACCACCTGAGGTCAGTCACTTCACTGGATATATGTAAGGGTTTACAACCACTTTAAGTAGATGTAAAACTTAACTGGAAGAAAGTTTGTTTTCTCTGTGCACCATCTATCATTAGCAACTGCCATTTTTTATTTGTTTTCATTATTTTTGTTACATATCAGTTTTGCTGATCTCCTGCAGCCTCTTTGCAGCCATTACCTGTTGTGAAATTTTGGGAACCAGAACACTAGCCAGTCATATCTTTGTAAAAACTATTTTTATTTCTCCCAAAAGTGCAAACAAAGCAGCTTATCTTCACCATGAAACAAACAAGATAATCTATAAACTCTGGTACGAAACAAAACTTTGGCTCACCACCAGCATACACTTGTCCTCCAGCAGGGTTCAATGTCCTCGCTTGTTCCAGAGGTCCAGAAAAGGGTCACAAGAAGGCCAGCAGCATCTCAGCAGACAAGCAGCCCATGTCCTGCTCCATACAACATCTCATCTACACCTGCTGGCTGTCTTCTGTCCTTTATAGACCCCTCCTGCAAGGGTTAACCCACTCAGGCCCAATCTCTCTCCCTGAGCAGGGCCAAGACAAGGGGTGGGCAGGAGGGGAGGCTGATTTAGAGGGATTTGTGTTGGGAGGGGGGATGGAGGAAGAGGATTTGTGCTAGGAGGAGGGATCTGGGAGGTTTGTGCTAGAAGAAGTGATAAGGTAAAGGGGGAGGGAATTGTACCAGAAGGGGAAATTTTTTTGCTGGTTAGATTTGTGCTAGCAGGAATGATTGGGGGTATTTGTGCTGGGGTGATTTGGGTGAAGGGGTGGAAACAATTGTGCTGGGATGGGGGATTTCAGCAGGGGGGCGAATTTTGTACTTGGAGGGATGATTGGGGGTGTTTATGATGGGGGGGGTATTTGGAGGGGGTATTTGTGCTGGGAGGGGGATGTGGAGTGGGGGGAAAAGTATTTGTACTCAGAGGGGAAATTTGAGGGGGTAGAGAATTTTTGCTAAGATGCTAAGAGGTTTGATCAATTTGAGGAGAGGGGTCATTTGTGCTGGGGTGATTTGGGTGATGGAGGGGCAAAGATTCATGCTGGGAGGGGGGAATTTTAGCAGAGGAGTGAATTTGTACTTGAAGGAGGAGGACCTTTTGCTTTGGGGGTAAGCATGCAAATTAGTGCTCAAATCTTTTTTTTGCCGGGGGGGGGGGGGGTAAGAATCTTTCTAGGAGGAGAAAGTTAGGGAGGGTGTTAGGAGTGGTGATTTAGAGGGATTTGTGTTGGGAGGGGGGGATGGAGGAAGAGGATTTGTGCTAGGAGGGGGGATCTGGGAGGTTTGTGCTAGAAGAAGTGATAAGGTAAAGGGGGGAGGGAATTGTACCAGAAGGGGAAATTTTTTTGTGGGGGTAGATTTGTGCTAGCAGGAATGATTGGGGGTATTTGTGCTGGGGTGATTTGGGTGAAGGGGTGGAAACAATTGTGCTGGGAGGGGGGATTTCAGCAGGGGGGCGAATTTGTACTTGGAGGAGAAGGAATTTTTTCTTAGGGGTAAACAAAGATTAGTGCTCATTTTTTGTGTGGTGGGGGGGATTTGTGCTGACACATTATGTGCATACATCCGGGAGTGGGGGGGACGCGCAGTTTTTGGCATGTTCGCGCCCTGGGCTGTAGATGACCTTGTCCCGGCACTGGCTAGCAGGGATGATTGGGGCTGTTTATGATGGGGGGGGGATTTGAAGGGGGCATTTGTGCTGGGAAGGGGATGTGGAGTGGGGGGAAGAGAATTTGTACTCAGAGGGGAAATTTCAGGGGTAGAGGATTTGTGCTAAGATGCTAAGAGGTTTGATCAATTTGAGGGGGGGGGGGGGGGGGAGTGTCATTTGTGCTGGGGTGATATTGGTGATGGAGGGGCAAAGATTCATGCTGGGAGGGGGGAAAATTTCTAGCAGAGGGGTGAATTTGTACTTGAAGGAGGAGGACCTTTTGCTTTGGGGCTAAACATGAAAATTAGTGCTCAATCTTTTTTTGGACGGGGGGGGGATTTGTGCTGACACATAATGCTCTTACATATGGGGGGGGAGTGCAGTTTTGCATGTTTGGGGCTCTAGATGACCTTGTCCCGGCACTGGCTAGCAGGGATGATTGGGATAGAAGGGTATATTTGGGGGGAGGGGAATGTGTGCTGGGAAAGGGATGTGGAATGGGGGGGAAGAGGATTTGTACTCAGAGGGGAAGTTTGAGGGATAGATTTCTCCTAGAATGCTAAGAGGGGTGATTTTTGTTATTTTTATTTCCCATTTTTAGAGTATGATACCATCATAGTGATCACCATTAAACAGATATAATATCAGGTGTGTCACCCGGCCAGCCTCCACCAAGAAGTGAAATATCAGTCTTTATTGACAAGAAGGTTGGCACTTTCCTCTGAAAGGTTTGGGAATGGTGATTTTCCTGAGATGTTCCAGAAGGTTCTACAGCTCAGTGTGGTCTCCGTCTTCCTCTGGATTTTCTCGGGGAGAACTCTGGTCCAGAAGTTGAACTTTCTGTCTTTCAGTCTCTGAGACACTTTCTGCTGTAAACCAATCTGCAGATAATCTTCATCTTCATCGTACTGTGGCCACCGAGTCAGGTCGGGTCCGTTCGGGTCACTAGGGAGAAAGAGAGAGGAAATTATATTTTTACTAAACATAAGAGACATAGAAGAGTGATGGCAGAAAAAGACTAGTGATGGGCCAAACACCCCCCTGTTCGTTTCACGGTTGAACATTCAAACCTACGAAAAGTTCGACCATGAACTTCGATCAGGGACAGGTATCTTACTGAGAGGTATCTTACTTCATCTGAGTATGTAGCAGGGGCGGACTGACAACTCATGGGGCCCCCGGGCAATAGGGGATCAT